CTAAGCCCCATCCCCAGCCCTATTTTGTATTTTGTTTAGAGACAGGGTCTCACTGAGTTGCTTAGCGCCTCACTGTTGCTGAGGCTGGCTTTGAACTGATATTCCTGAGCCACTGGGATTAAAATTGTGCGCCAAACACCACGCCCTGCCCCGAAGTATACCCATTTTATGGATGGTGAAACTGAGTCAGGCAGAGGTTGACCAAGGTCACCCAGCTTGGATGGCAGAATGGGCATGCCAAGGGAGATTCAGCTCTATCTACATCTCCTTTTAACTGGGAATTTAGCCCTGAATAATGCACCTGTCTTACGTAGATGACCCCTAGCAAGAGAGTTTAAGGTAAGAAAAACATCAAATGCCCTCAGGAAAGATGACTAAAGGATTTTAGAAACAGAGAGAACGTCCACTAAGGTGAAGCTGACTTTACTGGAGGTTTAAGGAGAACAGTAGAAGGCCAGTCCCTAGCCATATGTGGCATTTCAGAAATGCCAGGGCAGGGCAGCTAGTGTCATTGTTGCCATTACTGTCACCATTACCCTCTCTCCCACTATTACTTTTTTTAAAAAAGAATCCCTTTTCTTCTTTCTCCTCTCCTCCTCCTCCCCCACCCACCACCAATGACTGACTAAATGTTAATCCACTCAAAAGACCAGATTAGCCATGAATGCCGTATTTGCATTCCAAAGAATGACTGAGCCGCAGCTAAGGAGGGTAGGTGTGGAAAGGTTTTGAGGCTAAGGGTCCTTCTAAATCCCCCTCCTCCCTGCTCCTCTCCCCTTCCCACCTCCAGGGGCTGTGTGCACTCCCTCACCCCTGCTTCCCCATCCTATCCAGAGAAAGCAGGTGTGGACGTCATTTGTGGGGGGGTGGGGGTGGGGGTCCTGAGCCAGGCACCATTAAAGTCTAGTTCTCCAATTGTTCTGTGTGGTGGTAGAGCCTGAGGGGTGGACCCAGACTCCACCTTCTTTTGTATGTGAACATTCATTAAATACCCGTTCCCCGGACAATCTTTCAAAATACCCTGGCCACAGAAAACACACTTTGAAAAAAACAAAAAAAAAAATCATTTTTGGTTTAATTTATACAGGACCTAAACTAAACTGTTTCTGTACTTTGCTTTTTTGTGTTTGGTACCTCAGACTTTCCAAGCACACGTATGACATCACTCAGATTCCATGCTCTAGCTGTAGGACTGAATTCTTTGAATAACTTACTGCTTTCTGTTGAAGGTCATATATGTCCCTTTTGAAGTGATACAAAAACAAGCCATTGTGCTTTCCTGAAATCATAATTCCAGTGGCTTTTTTTAAAATAACTAAACTTTAGCCAGTGTGATGGCGCATGCCTGAAAGCTCCATAATCCCAGTGGCTGGGAGGCTGAGGCAGGAGGATGGCAAGTGGGAGGCCAGTCTGGGCAACCTAGCCAGACTCTTTCAAAAGAGAGGGAAAGACCTGGGGATGTAGCTCCGTGGGGAAGCAGCCCCGAGTTCAATCCCCAGGACTGGAAAAATAAACATAGGAAAAAACAAACAAGTAAACTTTTCTGTGGACAGAAGAAAAGCATTTTCACCTGCATTTATCACAAAAGTTCTCTAGCATTTTGGTGCAGTTTGTAACAGTTCAGATAAGTTTTTATCTCGTTTTTAAAGTGTGGGGGGGGCTGGGGCTGGGGCTGGGGCTCAGTGGTAGAGCACTTGCATGTGTAAGGCACTGGGTTCAATCCTCAGCGCCACATAAAAATAAATAAATAAATAAAACAAACGTATTGAGTTTATCTACGACTAAACATATTTAATAATAATAACTTTAAAAAGTGTGTGGTGCTTTCAGCGACTTCAGTAACCCCTCTGTGGCAGTATCATGCTTCTATGTGACCTTTCCGGAAACTTCATAACAACAGGAGCTATGTGTGAAGGTGGAATCAACCAAGAAGCAGGAATATTCTTGTGTACTTTCTGCATTTTACACTCTCTTTCTCAGGCTTCTTAGTGTTGGGAGGATACACATTAAGCAACTTGTTTCTGAATTAAGGTGTTGCGTAATCTGTTTGCTTTCTTAAGAATTGCCTTAAATCACTAGCCCGTGTATGTGTGGGATCCTGGTTCTGAGCAAATCAGCAATGAACTTTTCAAGTTCCGTCTACCTAGAGGAGTCAGTGTGATTGATTTATTAATTAGCAAAAGCCCTCCTCTGAAATTACCTTGCATTAATCACAATTCGTGCAAAATATATCCAATTAGTCTTAAGATGTTGGTTTGACAAACTATCCTTTCTTCAGAGACTACAGTCAATTTTAATAACCCTCCCTGGATAAATCATTAATGTTCAGCCTGAGATGATAAGTGGTGCAGGAAATTCCAAAAAGTACAACAGTCTCCTTCTGGCAAAACTGAAAACTATGTAAAATGGAGACAAGGCGGCTGGGTGAAGCAGGAAGCCAGGTTCTGACAATTCAGGATAGTCCAGTATCTGCTGCCACACGCTCTGAAGGAATCAGGAATCAAGGCTAAGAGGATTCTCCGGAGTCCAGGGCTAGTGAGAATGTACAGAACTCTGCCTTTTGGTTAAGGACTCCTCATATCTGTTCAGGGCCCAAACAAACTGATCCATTGGCAAAAAGTTCAGGCCTGCTAGTCACTTGGACTCCTGGATGTCCTCTTTTGCATGCTTCAAAACCTGTGCTTGCAGGCTGGGGCTGTAGCTCAGCGGTAGAGCACTTGCCTAGCATGTGTGAGGCCCCGGGTTCGATTCTCAGCACCACATATAAGTAAATGAATAAAATAAAGGTCCATCAATGTCATATATATATATATAAAGGTCCATCAACAACTAGAAAAAAATTATTTAAAAAATGTGCTTGCAAAATCACACAGGTTTAACCAACTTAAAATTGTTTCTTAAAATTGGTCCTGCCTTAAGATAAAGGAATAGAAGCCCTTCAGTTCACATGAAAAATTATACGGCAAATCCAGGACCAGAATCCAATGATCCTAAGGCAAGCCAAACAGCTTCTCTCAGCCCAAGGATCTCTTTCTATAATTAAAGAGCTGGAATAAACAAAATTGCATGGTTTCCAATGCTAACGTGCTGTGGTTTTAGTATCTTGATTCTACATCTACTTTCTCAATAACCTCCCTGTGCCTAGATTAAGTATTTATATCTGTAAAAGAGCAGCTATAAATACACACATATATTGTAAAAGTATCAAACAATGGAAGGGTCTACAGGTCTAGTGGTTTTGTTTGTTCTGCTGCTGCTGGGGATTGAACCTAGGGCTGTTAGGTGAGCATTCACCACGGAGACTATCTCCAGCCCAAATGGAAAGTTCTTAGAGGAACAAAGTTTAAGGGATTCCAGTTTATTATTATTTAACTCATATGAATTATGCAAATTAATGGTTTGACTGTGACATTTCCATGCATGCATGTCTGACTCAAGTGAAAATGATTTCTGTGTAACCAAAAAATTTATACATGTGTGTTAGGTGTTTAATTCCTTACACATGAGGGATTTTTTTTTTTTTTTACCTAATGACTATAAGAGGGGAAAACAAAACAAAACAAAAAAGCTAGATATTTCTGGACATTTAAAATTCCCCATTCTTGAGGAAAATGAAAATGATTAGAGAGAGATGGGGAAAACAGTGGGTTTTTTTTTAAAACCCCAACTCCTCATTTTATTGCAAAGATTTAAATATCTCTAGATTCTGTTTAAAAGGATGAATGCTGAAGAATGATCAAGCTTGAGTAACAAAACCCAGTAAATTTTAGCGAATTTGACTCCTAAAGATAGTCCCCAGCCAGTGGAGTGTGCTTCCTGAATGATCTTCTGAGCCCAAATGATTCATCAAAAGGGAAGCCAAGACTGAGATTCAGGGAGTTTTCAAAAAGAAATGGGAAGCTGCAGGAGTGACTTTCCCTTCTCGGTGGGATCATTTTACAAAACTCTCTTAATAAGTGTTAATGAACTATGAAGTACTTTGAGTTACTAAAAGAGAGAGAGGGAGAGACAGACAGACAGATCTCTATCTTGCACTAGAAAAATGCTATTTGCACTTTCAGGCCTGAAAAACAAAGGAGGTTCCCAGGCTAGAAGCAGGAGTCCTCTGGAGACCAGGCTGGGCAGTGCTTCCTTATCTTTGAAACCCTGGGCTCTGGCTCCCTCCGCACTCAGCTACCTTCAGTTCTGCAATTAAGGAAGTTAAATCCTGAAGCCGGAGCAGCCCCTGTGAATCATGATGCGAGTCTGCCCAAGGTTCCCTTTGGCCAAAGATCCTCACTCAGCGTTTGGAAAGGACAACCGGTGTTCACAGTTCTTTTTCGATGCTACACTTGTAAAATCCATCTGGGGAATGCTACCTCGCAGGGTGAATTTACAGAGCGATTGCACTTAGCTGAACTTTGGTCTTTTGTTTTGAAGGCCTCTGGGGAAGTTGATAAAGTTATGATTTATTGTTTTGTGAGGGACATTCCAAAAAAGTAAGCAAAGGTCATAGAGACCGACTCAATTTTCAACTCAGTTTTGGGAGGGCTGGTGTGTGTGTGTGTGTGTGTGTGTGTGTGTGTGTGTGTCTGCTGTATGGGCCCGAGTCAAGTGAGGCAAGTGTTCTACCTCTGGGCCTCATCTTCAGCCCAGTAGTGTGGGGGTGCAGGCCTGTAATCCCAGCAGCTCAGGAGGCTGAGGCAGGAGGATCCTGAGTTCAAAGCCAGCCTCTGCAATTTAGCAAGGCCCTAAGCAACTCAGGCAGACCCTGTCTCAGAATAAAAAATATAAAAGGGAGGCTGGGGTTGTGGCTCAGTGGTAGAGCACTCACCTAGCATGTGCGAAGTCCTGGGTTCGATCCTCAGCACCACATAAAAATAAATAAACAAAATAAATGTATTGTGTACAAATAAAAAATAAATACTATATATATGTATATATATATATATGGGCTGGGGATGTGGCTCAGTGGTTTAGCCCCACTGGGTTCAATCCCTGGTACAAAAAAAAAAAAAAAAACTATAATACAAAATGTGTTCTAATTTTAAGAAAATTTCATAATGTAGTAAAAAGGTTTATTAAAAAATGGATTTCATAAGGCATACCCAAAACTAATCAACAGGTACCCATCTCATCAAGTGCATTCCAGGGGCAGGCGATGTGAGCTGGGTGGTACCTTACCCAGTTGGAACACCAGAATCCTAAAACCAAATTGTTGGTTTTGGTCCACAATTTGCTGTGTGCCTGAGTGCACTATGTATTTATTTTTCAAATGGATGTTTTAGCAACCAGCTGAGGCCTCTGCTTCCTTCAAATATGCCACAATCCTAGTTACTTCCTCCTCCTCCTTCCCTCCAGTGGGCCCAAAGTGCAAACGTAAGTAACAGAGTCCCCCCAGTAAAGGCTGACAGCCCTGTGAGCAGGCTGCTTCCCCCAGCTGGGGCAGGCCTTTTAATATGTACCAGCTCCCCGCCCCCCCACAAATGAGTCTCAGTTCCCACCATAGCTTTGCAGAACTTTACTTGGCTAGAAGGATCTGTCTCCTGCAAAGTAGACAATTAAAATAGATTTTTTAATTTGCAGATAAACACATCTTAATGCAGCGATAGCTCTTGAACTTCTCACTCCCAGCCTAATCTTTAATTTGTCCCAGAAATGCAGAAACCTTGAAGTGTTCTTTAAATATAAAGATCAAAAAGAAAAATAAAAAAAAGGCACTAAAAGCTTTAAAAGATACCTGTCCAAATTACCCTATAAAGAGCCCTTTAAAAAACAAAACTCCACATTCCCAGAGATTAACTGCAGGGGATCTATGTTGAGAGTGATGTGATGTTGTCATGAATGATCATGATAACCGACAAAACGACAAAACGGAATCAGCCTCAGTGTGGGGCCTCACAGTTAAAGAAGTAAACAGAAAAAAAAAAAAAAAAAAAAGGTCTCCTGTGTAAGAAGTGTTTCAACATGAACTGCTGTCAAAGGGGGTTTTAAAGTAAAACCTGGTTGGGAATGTAGCTCAGTGGATGAGCCTCTGCCCTGGGTTCCATCCCCAGCACTGAAAAAAAAAAATAAAGTAAGAAAAGAAAAGAAAAAAATAAATAAAAAGAAAGAAAGAAAAGAAACCAAAGCATGGAAGAACTGCTTCCTATGTACAGTGGAAAAGTTTACCCAAATGACAAGCTGTCGTGTGGGGACGTCTCAACAACATTCTAGTTTGTTTCCTCAGATCAAAAAGCAGAGACACAAGCTCAGCATTTCTATCTGTGCTGTGGGTCATCTTCCCTGTTCCCTGGAGTAATCATATGCTGCATCCATGAAGCAACTGTCTAACACCTGAATGTTCTCAGTACAAAGACCAGTGGGGTCATATGACAAGGCTATATTTAGAGAAGGACTCTGTTTTCTGTTTTGCTCAGCCCTCACCATTTTCTGCTCCAAAGAGGAGTTTCAAATGCACATTGATCTTTCTCATTTCGTGAATGAACTGAATTAGCACCTGTTTTCAACTGCCAAAAAATGCACTTTTATTTTTTTTAAATGGGGAAAGAGAAGTCTGTGTGCTGTTAAGTCAACATGGGAGGTATGTTTTTTTTTTTCTTTTTTCCTACTTTCTTCAAAAGAACTTAACCAGAAGGTACAGTAAGAATATTTACTAAATTTTCTAAATGCTGGGGCGTGTGCCTTAGGGAACCAAGCAATATATGGGATAGTGGTAATATTCCAAGGGGATTTGGATATAAACCGTCCCCCTTACTAATGTTGGGAAAACTAACTCGTGTAACCACAAAGTGACTGAAGAGTCAACTCTAGGAAGCAAGAAAACAACTTGGTAGTCCCATGCGTACCTCTGTGAGCCCTTTCGTCATAAAAGGCCTGGGAAAACATAATAACTTTCAGAAATTAAATGTCATAAACATTAATTGGCCAAGACAAGACCCAACTTTTTGGAAAATACTTTCCACCTATATTGTTTCTGTGGTGGTGACCTAAATATTTTCCTGAGGTTGAGCATTGGATTGATTAAATGATTCTTTTTTAAAAAAAATCCTGCCCATTCATAAGATGGATGTGGCTCAGATAAGCCACACTGACAGCGTGGACTCTAATCTCATGAACTCTCCCGTGTGTTCAAAGATGATGCTGAAGGGCTCTGCTCCGGTTAACTGAGCTGGTGGGGAGGTGCCTGGCTGTTGGCAGTTGTATGTTTGTGGTTCTGCCCCCCCCATCCCCTGCCTGCCCTAGAGACGCAGAGTGGAAAAAATGCACTAGAATGAGCAGAAACTAAATAACAAAAACAAACAAAAAGCCGGACATGGTGGTGGCACATGTCTGCAATCCCAGTGGCTCGGCTCAGGAGGCTGAGGCAGGAGGATCACGAGTTCAAGGCCAGCCTAAGCAACTTTGTGAGGCCCTAAAAAACTTAGTGAGACCCTGTCTCTAAATAAAACATAAAAAAAATAAAGGGCTGGCAATGTGGCTCAGTGGTGAAGCACCCCTGGGTTTATTCCCTGGTACCAAAAACAAAACCCTACCACTGAAAGGCCAGGAATGGGGTTGAAATGCCAGGATTTGTGGTGCAGGAAAGCAGGGCTGATTTAAATCTTGCATACTAAAGATGCCACTCGTGTTTCCTGTCCATCCTACCCAGCTGTGGGCTAGCCCACAAGTGAACTATGTGGTAATTGGACAGAGATTTAGATTCAGGCTCCGTAAGCAGAGAACTCATTCGTTCAACATGTATTAAAAGTCACCCCCTGAGGGGGCTGGGGTTGTGGTTAGCGTTAGAGCACTCGCCTAGCATGTGTGAGGCCCTGGGTTCGATTCTCAGCACCGCGTAAAAATAAATAAATAAAATAAAGATACTGTGTCCAACTACAACTAAAAAATAAATATTAAAAAAAAAAAAAAAAAGTCAGCTGAAACGACAGCTACCAACTCACAGGAGACAGGATGAGTATTCAGCATGAGCGGATCGTACCTGGTGTGGTGTGTCCAGGGGATGGAGAGCTCTTCTGGAGCACCCACTGGTCAGCCCTGCCATCTTAACTAAGATAGCCTCTGTCCAAGTCTCGCTTCTTTCTGCTTCAGTTTTCCACCTGCCTTCTCCAGGGTGCTTGTGGTTGTCTCATGATATTCGTTGCTGCTTAGACTCTTTGTTTGTTCAGTACTAGGGTCTGAACCCAGGGGTGACTTACCACTGAGCCACATCCCCAGCACTTTTAATTCTGCATTTTGGGACAGGGTCTCACTAAGTTGCTGAGGTTGGCCTTGAACTTGTGATTCTCTGGCCTCATCCTCCCAAGCCACTGAGATTATAGGCATGGACCACGATACTTGGCGTGCATAGACCCTTTTCCATTGTTGCTTTAACAAATTCTTTTCTATTTTATTTTTATTTTGTTAATTTTTTCAGTACTGGGGATTGAACCCAAGGGCACTCTTCTGTTGAGCTACATCTCCAGTCTCTCTCTCTATACACACCCATATATGTATATATATCCACAAACATATACATATATGTTTATATATGTTCATATGTGTGTGTGTGTGTGTGTGTGTATATATATATATATATATATAAATATTTTTTTTTTTTTTTTTTTTTTTTTTTTGGACAGAGAGACATGCAGCATCTCTAAATTCCCCAGGCCAACCTCAAACTTGTGCATCTTCCTGCCTCAGTCTCCCAAATTGCTGGGATTACAGGTGTGCGCCATTCTGCCCCACCAATTTTTTTTAATATTTATTTTTTAGTTATAGGTGGGCACAATATCTTTATTTTATTTTTATGTGGTGCTGAGGATCGAACCCGGTGCCTCACGCATGGTAGGCAAGTGCTCTACCTCTGAGCCACAACCCCAGCCCCTCTAGAAATTCTTTCATTTTTTTAATCATTCAAATTTTTCCTTTAAGGTTCAATATTAAACAAGGTTTGCCTAGGTGCTTAAAGACCCTAGAATTTTCGTATTATGGACTATTCAAAATTTGCCCACATGGTCAGGCATGGTGGTCCACAGGGTGACCAGGTCAGAAAGGACACTGCTCCCTCTCAGCAGAGCCTGAGGTCGCATTTCCTGCCTCCTGGCCAGGTGTTGTGCTACCCGCTGGACAACAGCTATGAGTAGATTTCTGTCCTTGGGGCGGGGGGAGCTACTGTCTTTGCATAAACAAGAAGGAAACTAGACCCACCAAGGCCCTGTCAGGGAGCGCCATTCACCCTTACACCTAGTGAAGAAAGGTGAACTCCAAGCTACTGGGGGGTTCCCCGAGAATGCTGGGTTTTTGTTTTTTCGTTTTTATTTTTTCATTTTTATTCGTTATTTTCGCTGGAGCTAGAACCCAGGGCCTCATGCAAGTTGCACTCCTGCCCCTGTGTTTAGCTTCTAAGTACTTTGTTTAGACAGGAATCTTTGTTGCTTCTTTTTGTCCTGTATCCATAGCAGAGATGAGCACACGGGTCTACAGGGTTACGGACCAGCCTGCCTTGCCAAATGTATTTTGGAAAAGCTGAAAAGCTGGCCATTCCCATTCTTGGGAATTCTTGAGCATCGCCTCTGGTCATGTTCTGTTTAGAAATTAGCATTCCTCGATTTAAAACAAAATGTCCATCGAGGGTACAGTACATAGAAGTGTCGGTGCTGGGAACCACATGGGACAGGCCTGCTTCCAACACGTGGCTGCTTTTCAGTGGCTTGGTGAACCCAGGAGTTTCCTTCGCTCCTTCCCCTGCCCTCTTTCCTCCTCGGCCTCCACCCCACAGTGTTCAAGATGATTTTATTTTGTAACTACTCTGAGAGCTTACTGTAGCGGGGGTTTAAGCGGTTGCAAAACGTTGCAGTGCTTGAAGTTTACAGAATGTATTTACGTCTCATCTTATGATCATGACCGCTTCAAAGGAACCAAAGATAGCAAAGCTGGTCCCCTCTGGCCCCAACCAGCCAACGCCAAGACAAGGCAGTTGAATGACACTGCTCTATTATTTAAAGACTTGCTTTACACACAAGACTTCAGAATGATGAAAATGTAAATCGGGGGGTCATTTTATATTGGAAATGTACATGAAGTTTCATCATTTAACGGTTTCCTCAGAATGCTGGGTTGTGACTGTTTTATTATCACACATTATGCAGATTCTATCTTTTATAAAGCACCTAGTATGTGCAAGAATATTCTGGGGCTGGGGATATAGCTCAGTTGGTAGAGTGCTTGCCTTGCACACACAAGGCCCTGGGTTCAATACCCAGCACCAAAAAAAAAAAAAAAAAAAAAAAAAAATCTAACAAGAATATTCTAGATCTAAGGGGAAAAAAACTATCATAAATAAGAGCTGATCTCCGTCCCTGAGTTAACATATGAATAGTCCCTGAGGAGTAAGGGACTGTAGTAAATATTTTGGATCTTTTTAGATCAAGGAGTCTATAAATCCTGAGGCACTACATATTTTAAGTTTAAAGAACCATATAGTGGGGGGGGGGGGCTAGGGTTGTAGCTCAATGGTAGAGCGCTTGCCTTGCATGCATGAAGAACTGGGTTTGATTCTCAGCACATAAATAAATGAATAAATAAATAAATAAATAAATATCCATTGACAACTGAAAAACTATTTAAAAAAAAAAAAATAGAGTCTGGATCTTAGTTACTCAACTACCCCTAGGAAAGCAGCCATAGCCAATTACCCGTAACTGAATCAGCACAACTGCATTCCAATCACACTCTACTTTTGTGTTTGTTTTGAGGTACTGGCTACTGAAACCAGGCCTTTGTGAATGCTAGGCAAGCCCTGTACTAATAAAGCTTTATTTACAGCAGTGGGAGGGGGCAGGGTCCACACCTGGATCCCAGTGACAGCGGAGGCTGAGGCAAGAGGATCAGAGGATGGAAAGTTCATCAGAAACTTAGTAAGACTGTGTCTCAAAATTTAAAAAAGAAGCCAGGTGCCATGGGGCACGCCTGCAATCCCAGCGGCTTGGGAGGGTGAGGCAGGAGGATTGTGAGTTCAAAGCCTGCCTCAGTGACGACATCGAGGGAGATCCTGTCTCTAAATAAAATACAAAATAGAGCTGGGGGGTGTGGCTCAGTGGTTGAGTGCCCCTGAGTTCAATCCCCAGTACCAAAAGAAAAAGAAAAAAATTTTAAATACTTTTTAGTTACATATGGACACAGTGACTTTATTCTGTTTTTATTTTCATGTGATGCTAAGGATCGAACCCAGTGCCTCACATGTGAGAGGGAAGCGCTCTGTCACTGAGCCACAACCACAGTCCCGAAAAGGTCAGAGATGTAGCTCAGTGGTGGAGCACCCTTGGGTTTAATCCCCACTGCCACACAAAGAAATAGCAATAAGGCTTTATTTACAAAACTGGTCAGCAGTGCAGATTTGCCTGTGGGTGACAGAGGCTGAGAGCTTCTTTAGGTGTATTAAGTCATGCAGCTGCCACTACTCACATTGAGGCCAGCTCTTATTATCACATCAGCACGTCTTAGATGGGGATACGGAAGCTGGAAAGAAGGTGATCTTAGCCCAGCTCACACAGCAAGTGACTGTCAAAGCTGAGATTTGGAAACTCATTTTCCCTATTC